TGTCTGACTCAGTGCCCATCGTAATCTACACGTTTATCTGTAAAATCTGTCAACTCAAATGTGCAGACTGGCTCTGACTTTCGGCAACTATTGTCAACTTGTCTAGACTGTAAATCGTGTAGTGTATTTCAGCCTATAGTGAAGAAGAGAAAAGTTCAGTGTAGGATTTACTTTGAAACAATTTTCACTCAGAAACTGATATTAAAATTCACAAATAATTACAAAGAACACTGAATTCAGTAGAAAAACTGAAATTCTTGTTTTAATATTATTGAGTAATAATTTTTAGTTTTAAAAAAAGCTTTTTTTACATTTAAACAATATTTGCTGTCATTTAACTCTTACTTAAAACCAATCTTTAAAATAACTCAAATTAATCACACTATAAAATGTTTTTTTTAGACATTTTCTAAATGAATATCTATTTTTATGTTATGATGCTTACATTCACTTCTAACATTTCTTACACATTCAAAAATGAATTATTCATTCACCTTTTGCACCTCACTCAGGTCCAGGGAGTGTAAACAGTCATACATTTCAACTAAACGGCATTGTATCTGATGAATAACTTCTAATTCATGAGTGAAGGCACAAACATTTCATTTTAAAGTTTTGACTGTCACACTAAAGAAATCAATAAAAATAGCAAATTAACTTTTTGATTAAGTGTGAATCCCTATTGTGTTTTGATAAATGTTTCGTTACTATGTTAATTTACTCCTTTTTTATTCATGAAATTTCGCAGTATATATTACAGAACAACCAGCATGATGCAAGAAAAAGATATATATTTTCTCAATATTTCTGAGCCATTTTATTAGAATGTCATAATATAAAATTTATAAAAAAAACATATAATCTGAGAATAAGCAGTAATGGTCATTTTGACGATAAATGGAAATAATTATTGGTTTATCGGTTAGAATGTTTTATATCAGTGCACCCCTAAAACATCTAAAAATACAGACTGATGGGGCCTTACTTGAGAATTGGTGGTGGAGGGCTGAAGATATTCACTGGGGCTGACTGCGACAGTGGTGGCCATACTGTCCTTTTGATCTGTGAGAAGAAGGTGAATCTATTTATCCAAAGAAAACACCAGAACTCTCCAACTGTGATTTCCATTGGGGAATGAAATAATGCAGCAGGAGTTATTTGCACTACTGAAGTCAAATTAATTCTGTGCTTAGACTGCGCATGCCTGCGGTGTCCTTATTTTCCAAAGTACCACAGCATTGTGATTAATGTCTGCATAGAAACTGAAAATACTGAACAAATCAAATGAACTGATTGTTCTGTTAAAAACAAAAGAAACAAAACTTTAAAATAAATAAATAAACAAACAAAAACATGAATGGCATGCACTTTCAGTTATTACAGTGTAGCTAAGGAGGCGATACCTGTGATCATCTAAACCCTGGAGAGGAGTGATTCAGCGGGACAGGGTTTAAAACGCAATCCACTATTAGCACACCATTAAATGTTCTCAATCCTGGTCCTGAAGTGCAGAGCTTCCCCAGAACCAGGACTGAGATCCGCTACTCTAGTGTATTTACATCTGTGGTAAACACCCAGCACTGACCCCGCATGTACTAAGATCTCAGATCCCAACCCAAATAAACACTTGATGTTATGGCGCTTAAAGTTACTAATTGGCTGTCAAAGCTAACAAAGTTAACGGTTTATCCACATTTATTTGAATGGGATCAAAATCATAGTAAGTCTAAAGAAATTACACCACAGTGATCTTTCTGCCATCATATTTAACGGTTTTCCAACTTTACTACATAAAAGAACTTGCTCTCATAACTAGCTAATCAGGCTGAAAATCAGGACACAAGCGCTGATAACCAAGCCTTGGGTATTTACAGCGAAATTCGTGCTTGGAGGGGAGAAAATGTTGTTTTTATGCATATATAAAGGAAAAAATGCAGTTTGGTTAAAGCTGCAGACTGAAACCAGCGGCTGACGCTAACAGGCTAAACGTCAGATGCCTGTAAGTGGTTGAGCTAAGCTAATGAAATTCATTAAAATATCGATTTAAGCTCACTTTATATTATGTTTTAATCAGCCGTCTACACGTTTACGTCTTTCTACGAGCATGCAGTGCGCGGCTAAAGGGTTATTCTGTCTGCGGGCAGACAGACTCAAGAGTGCGCTGATGGAGGAGCAAACTGCTGGCTTAGCATGCTAAAGTGCTAACTAGCCAGATAAACTCTTCGCTGCGGAAAAGAAACGCGATTCCGGAAGTGAGCATTTGATAGAATCGCCGTGCTACGCATGATTTTTAAAACTCGTGCGTGCTAGCTACGATGTAAAATATATATCGGTTCATTCGCTCGAGAAAATGTTTAAGAAAGTAATATAGTAATATAAACACCAACGTTATAATTCCTACCCACCGCTCATGACGACATTCACTCTCCGTGAAGCCTCGAAGAGCCCACACGAGATACCGCCCCACCCACGCCCTCTGGCCAATCCGGTTACTTGTCAATCAGCGCGAGCTCGCAGTCCTGACCAATCATAGTGCAGCATTTGTCTGATTGACGTTTATTCCGGCTAATGAGATAAGGTAGTATTTCTATGACAGTTGAAGGATATATTTTTGGCCAATGGATTGTAGAGTTTTCAGGAGAAAGGCGGGCGTTGTGAAGCAGTCAAAATAATAAGCCGAGCCAATAATACACAGGCTTGAATTTCACTGACGTTTAGCTCGCCCAGTTAGAAATGGGTAAAGCATATCAATCAAAAGTAATTGACAGTTATTTCGATCGATCAATCTGCTTGCACTTTGTTATTTTCCTATTGCAGTATGAAAGCAGGTGCTCCATCAGAATATGTGGCTGTTGTCTCCTGAAAAGCCTGTGGTGCATCTCATTAATGCAACCGGCTGCTTTCTCAACATCTAAATGCTTTGATTCTGCAACATGACATTGTGCATTTTGTAAATACCATTTAAGTGACCCAAATATTAGTTTTTTTATTTATTTAATATAATAGGCGTGGTTAGCTGAATATAAAAACCAAAAGATGGAAAAATGTGTGTGTACATAACCATATTTTGGGAACTAATTCGTACTCAGAAGTGAGCTAAATCTGACATAACCTCTCTTTGGGGACTTAAATTGTGTGGATTAGGGTTAGGTTATAGTATTTAGAACTAGCTGTATAAACCATTTAGATAGCTAAATAAACGTGTGTGATGTCCCAGCTAAAAGTTACCTTGTTACTATGATATAATGACAGTAGAAAATAGTAATACATTCGTACTGAATGATTATCACAGTCACATACCATGGTATTAAGACCATGCATTCCAGGTGATTAATTTAACTAATAGATATCACCACTTTAACAGTTGATTACATTGTTGATTGATTACATTAAAAACTAAAACATTTTTGTATTACAAGTTTTCTGAAATGTTATGATTAAATGTGCAGTAATTTGCATACATTTCCACAAGATAAATCTGAACATTGGATGAAGCCAGGTTCAAAATTATTGTTTCATTTTGTTGACTTGTTAGAGTCAAAAGTTTTTACAGAGGGGATTTTGAATATATCTTTTTATCATTCCATAAATCACAATGTTTTTAGGAATAAAATGATGTATAAAAATCAGGCAAATTATATATGAACAAACTCCTCCCTAAAAATCTTCAGAATATAAATAGGAATAACACTGGAAATTTGATGTATGTAATCGCTACTGAAGTGGAGATTTCTGGCTCAGCGCACGAGAAAAAAAAACCCTTTAAAGATATGTATTGTAAATGCAGTCTACAGACGCAAACAGATAAAGTGCAATAAAATAAAATTGAATATTTTTGATGTTTTGCCTGTAGTGCCTTGCCTTAATACAGAACACCAATTCAATTGTTAATTCAAAGAAAACCTTGGAATCACCATGATGGTGCATGTCCCATATCTATATATCTCTATATATATATCTCTATATCTATATATATCTCTCTATATATATATATACAGTGGGTACGGAAAGTATTCAGACCCCCTTAAATTTTTCACTCTTTGTTATATTGCAGCCATTTGCTAAAATGATTTCCCAAAAAGACTCGTGGCTGTATTAGATCAAAAGGGTGCTTCTACTCTAAATACTGAGCATGTGATATTTCAGTTTTTTTTTTTTAATAAATCTGCAAAAATGTCAACAATTCTGTGTTTTTCTGTCAATATGGGGTGCTGTGTGTACATTAATGAGGAAAAAAAATTAACTTAAATGATTTTAGCAAATGGCTGCAATATAACAAAGAGTGAAAAATTTAAGGGGGTCTGAATACTTTCCGTACCAACTGTATATATATAAACCCTGGTAACTCAATATAATGATCTGCAAAGACAAACAGATATGTCCAATGGTGAGACAAACTTAAATTAATTTGATTATGGTCTTAAAGGCACAATATGTAATTTTTCGCCGCTAGAGGGCACGTATTCAAAATAAACAAAGAGACAAAGGCGTAGTTTGATGACGGCGTGACTGAGTGTGGAATCATGGGAGTTGTCGTCTTCATCCCCACAGCCGATGCAATCCATCGGGACTCGGGCAGAAATCATGTTCATGGATGAGCTAATGATTTATTAACGTAGTAGAATGAAGCAGGGTGAGGCTGAAAGCCGTCGAAGCGAAACGAGGCCGCTGAACCAGCGCGACACATGAAAGTTCTGTTATAATGCTACTCTGTGCGGTCGTCACCTGTCTAATAAAATGCATTACATATTAAAGTGTCTTTGGTGTTTCCATGTTTTCTACAAAACAAAACCAGAAATCGAGGGGTTGTGACATCATTGGCAGGCGATACAATGACACTATGGACACTGTCCGTGTCACTAGTTAAAATTGCTTATTTCTCTGGATTTAAACATTCTTCGAAACATTTGGGATAATGTAAGTACACAAGTCAGCAAAATATATAACACTGTTCTAGTGGTTTTTGGATATTTTAATAAAAAAATCTTACATATTGTGCCTTTAAATCATAAATAATGTGAAAAAGCCATCAAGTATACCACCACTTATTTTCAAGTTTACTTTGTCTTTTACTCAAAATACAGTTCATGTGGCCTGATCAGACTGAAGGAGTTACAATCAGGGAAAGGACAAATAAAGGGGTCACACACTCCACCCAGGGGCCTGATGAGGAAAGAAAGAAGAACCAAACAGAGACGGATTCATGAACCGGCCAGTTTAAAAACTCCAGTGTAATATAACCTACAGATGAAGGCTTTTTCTAGTACCCCAAGTCAAATGTCCTTGTTCGTTTTTTGTTTAACTTATTATTTTTTTAAGTCCACTGTTTGCTGTCCAGTGACCTTTCAAGTCCTTTGTCTATCATGTCAGTCTCTGGATTTATTTGCCTGCTCAACATAGACAGTATTCCAGCAATCCTCTGTACTCCCTCTGTCCGCGTGTTGGTCAAAGAGGAGGGGCCAGTCGACTGATGTTCATTGGCTTCTGCTGGAAGACTGGCAGGGAGTTGGAGCAGAGCTGTGCACCAGGAAGTGTCCATGCGCTGTTCCATCTATTATCCACACACAGAATTACTAAAAAAGAATACATTTGCGTTTTGTTATTTAAACTTGTTGGCATTAAGTACAATATAATGAATGTAAATCAGTCATTGCTGCAGGTACGTACAGTGAAAAGGAGTGATCTGGCTATGTTTCAGACTCGGCTTCCTGTTCCACACCTGCTGCCTTGCGCATGCCTTTGATTGACAGGTACATCTCTTCCTCTGGATCATAGTAATAGAACTTCCTCAAGTAGACAATGAGCGGTCTAAGAAAAAAATAAAATAAATAAAAGTTAGTCTTTTTAGGCACTTTGTATGCAAAGTCTTTTTTCTTTTTCTTTTTTTACTAAAAACTGCTTTAAAATGTTATACATGTTTATTTCAATAACATTGGGTAGAAATATGTGATACACTCATTACTCCCTGAAAATGATTAACTAAAAGTTTGCTCCGTATTGACAAAAATAACTGTAGATGGTATCCCTTGACATTATAATCATAATTTTATTCATTCTGATTAATAGAATTTACTTTAAAATACTTATTTTGAAAAGGGCACTTGCATCCCATGTTCTTTGCATATGTCAAACTGTGTTCTTGACTTAATTTAGATCAATTTTAATTAATATAAATCAGTACATTTTGACCTACAGTGTGTCTAAATGTCTAAAACTTCACATCGGTAAGCGACACAGAAGGTCAGCAATGCAACAATACTCTCATCCCACTACCAGTATTTCATGCATCTCCCATATACACTACCATTCAAAAGAAATTAATACTTTTATTCAGCAGGGATGCATTAAATTGGTCAAAAGTGACTGTAAAAACATTCCTAATATTTCAAAAAATATTTCTGTTGTTCTTTTGAGCTTTTTATTAATCGAAGAATGTATTACGGTTTCAATAATATTAAGCAGCACAACTGTTTTCAACATTGATAATAATAAGAAATAAATGCAGCTTTAGTGAGCATATGAGAGTTTTGAAAAACAATCTAACAGACCTCAAATCTCTGAATGGTAGTGTATCAGAAATCTTATATAATAAGGCAAATAATGTAAAGTGTGAGTGAGTCATACTTGGGGAGGGGCAGCTCCTGGATGTGATCTATGCGGACGAGTTGTCGGATGCAGAAACGGCACAGATGCTGGAGTGATTTAACATTGCTGAAGCGTGAGACCGGATAGAGCAGCTGCACAGGGGTTGGGGGCAACCCTGAAACAGACACCACACGTTCCATTACACTGACCTTTCATCTCTTACACCCTCAAACCTGGTTTTGGTTTTTACAAACAATATAAATTCAATCTTTTCTTTCCTTTTCCTTTTACTTCTGTGCATATTGCTACCACAAGCACATTAGACTAAACAATGGTTGTCATTAAATCGAAAACGTTTTAAAACAAACAAAAATTTTTTTTACAATTAAATTATAAAAATAAAAATGAATTCAATATATTAATAACTACTACAATAGAATATACTGTAAATATTACTAAATAAAATAGGATCCAAATTGGTGTCCCATTACTTTTGTTAAAAAAAGTTTTCATTAAGAACTACTGAATATATTATCTTATCTACATGCATGTTAAAAATATTATCCAACATAAAATTATTCTAGCATGAAAATCAGCTACTTTTAAACACATAAATTGTGTATACCCCTATAAAAACTATGAAAAAATGACATATGTTGATATGTTTTGTCCCACCCTTTGTTCACAACCACTATCTTCCAAGATAAAAAGACGAAAAAATAAGTTTCAAGCACCTTTCTCCCTATTTATCCCTCCTGCATCAGTAAACAGAACAATTAAATGCTTTTTATTCAGCACTAGTGGCTGAGAATCCTGTTGAGCAGGATATTTGTAGCCTTACCAGGTACACGTGAACGTAGGAAGTAGAGGAATTTTCCATTTTTAGAGTGCATGATGGCTCGCTCAATGAATTCAACCACAGAATGGCAGCGGTCCTCAAATTTAGGGTGGCACCATAAACTGAAGGTTCCTGAAGAGATAAAAACAAACTTTAAGGAAAAAAATACACTGAAAAAACAGCATATTGTATTAGTTTTTCTCAAATTATATTTATGGTTTGGTTCAAACCTTAAAATTTGATTTTATATTTATTTTCCCAAAGACAAAAACATTTATACAAAGTAAAAAGATTATTCTGCATGCATTCTTGCGGACACTGTAAAAATCTTTTGAAGATTATTCGAGTATGTTTTACAAAAAATTAATGTTTAATTCATGTATGTTACTTGCTGTTTCTTTGCAATTAATTGTGAAATTTACTAACAATTTCTGAGTGAAAATGATTTCTACAGATTTTTTTTTTAGTGTAGGTCAATATATATATATATATATATATATATATATAATAGTATATATATTATAGTATATGTACTGTATAGTATAGTTTATATACAGCTTAATTTCATTATAAACAAAATCTAAATTAGCTATAATATGAAAATAGCATTTTCACTTAAGATAAAAGCAACATTTTCTTTAATTACTATGAATTAAGACAACTTTGAAATACCTTAATGTTTATTGTGATATTGTGATCACAGTTTCTGTTATGTATTTGCAAAAAAACCTGGTGGTGTGAAAACATTTATTGACTACCGATTTGACTTTTTAAATCTAAATTTAGACCTAACTGTCATTCTGCAAGTGGTGCAATCTAATCTGTTTGTTCAGGCAGTGCAGTCAACACTGACTTTATAATCAGACTTCAAACCACTAGAGGATGTGGTTTAGATCAGGTTTTCAGTAATTTTTTGGCTACACTTTTGAGTCTGATATGTCCAAAAAGAGTTTGAGCGTGTTTACAGATATGTATATACGTGTGTTTACCTCTGTAGTGCTCCATACGCGTGTGGTGTGTGACTCCCTGTGAGCGAAAGCTGAGGCTAAGGATGTATCGTGGGTCTGAGCTGTCCCGCACCAAAAACGAGCCGTCTGGCTTTCCTCTCAGCTTCATTTCAGCATCCTCCCAGTTCATCGGCCCCCAATACCAGCCACACTGCAGACACAAACACACAATGACCATACAACAGTGCTGAAAAGCTGCTTACAGAAAAAACACGCGAAACCCAGGAAACCACAGTCATATTTCATAGTTAGAAAGGTCTATAAATGAACATGCCGAATGATATTTCAATCATATGAGTGGAAATTTTCTCTTGTTTCTTGACTTCACGTCAAATGGTTTTGTCTCTCACCCGCTCCAGCTCTCTCAAGCTGGCAGTGAAGCTGCTGGAATCGGCTCCTCTCAGTGGACACATGATTGGGGGCGGGGCCACTCTAGCAGGGGCCGGAGTCTCCATTGGTGATGGAGCCGAATGTGGAAGTGCCCGGAAGAAAGCATCTGAGACACAAATGGACCATTTTTTAAATACAACAGCAAATATTGAGTTGCAATCAGCTAAGACTAATATTCCATCTAAAAGTAGCTAAATGGCCATTCAAAATTTTGATTAAAAATTACAGTAAAAACAGTAATATTGTGAAATTGTATTACAATTTAAAATAACTGTATTTTTTATTTATTTTAGAATAGAAATGTAATTTATTCCTGTGATGCCAATATGTTGATTTGCCCCTCAAGAAACATTTATTATTATTATTATTATTATCATTTATTTTTATTAAACAGTTGTGCTCCTTAATATTGTTCTGGAAACCACAATACTTTTTGTCCAGATTCTTTGATAAATAGAAGGTTTAAAAGAACAGCATTTATTTGAAACATAAATCTTTTGTAACATTATGAATGTTACAAAACAAATAACAGTTTACAAAATTTTTGATTAAAATTTATTAAAATTTATTTAAGTTTTTCATTATAGTGTGACATGACTATAAGTGTTATAATTGTGAACTGTTAAATATACAAATATCCCAAGTGAATAATATGAGGTTATTAAAAGCTTCATATAAAACTACGTATAGCAATTATACAGGAATATAAAATATATATTTAAATTCTTTACTAATTTACCAAACACACAGTGTCCTTTTGTGACAGCATGCCCCAGTTGTGTTGTATATTGTGTTCACTTGTTTGCCCAAAAGCTAGAGCACAACAAAGTTCTGTTTGGAAACAGAATTTACAAAAATTATTCTAATTTAGTAGGATTATATAGTATAAACCCATAACACAGATCCATTGCTAATTTACTGAAACAACTCTCCTTATGCCAACTTCCCTCTGTGACAACTTGCCCAGGCTCCCCTATAGCATATCACACTGCAGGACACATGAAATGTCATATCAGCTACCAATAAACATGTATACATGCTATGTTGTAGTTGCCATATCTTTAATCCCCTTCATATATCATACATAAGTTATATTTCTATATGAGACATTAAGCAGAAGATGCTACAACACACAGCTTAAGTTTGAACTCTACAGTATGGCACCATCGCTCACACTTCCTCTCTGCACTTTAGTCACACCGCCTTTTTCCTCTGAGCTGCAAAAGGAACTGAAAAACGAAACCACACGGTCAACCAAAGCCTTTGTTAAGCAAAACAATACATGCGGCGGGTGACATGTATTGTCTTTGCCTTTGCCTTTCACAAGAATACCACAGTTACATTCACACTTTATTCCATTTCTCTTTACGTTTCAAGGAATAAAGGTGCTTCTGAGGGCAGAGAAGGAGCTGGTCTTCTGAAAGGGGAAGGGGAGGTTAGGATCTGCTCTCAGAACCAGAAAGATGCCCTGAAACACCCTGTAACCAGTGTTGGGCAGTAGCTGTTACTGTAATTTGATTACTTTTTTAGTAACAGAGAAATTTAACGCGTTATAATTTTCAAAATAGTAATTAGAGTATAGTTACAACAAGCCGAGGTCTCTATGCGTTACTGCCACGTTAGGCCTACATTGCTGACAGAATGCAGTGTTTTATAATCTAGAGATTGTAAAAAGGACGTAGCACACGCACTGTCGAGTCAAGTGCCAGTGGATTAGACCTGCTCTCCCGCGAGACCCGACGCAACAGAGTGCGGCGCGGGACAAGATGTGCGAGTGCTAGTGCGGGCGGGTAGACACTCATGTGTGTGCGGGATGCGGGAGAATAAAATGATTCACGGGACTCCCGCAAAATAGAAATATCTAAACATAAAATATCTAAAACAAATAAATTGTTATTCATCTATTGCACAAAAGCAACACGAACTATTATAAAATATAAACGATTAACAGATGCAAGCATATGCAGAGTTTTTATTTAGGCTATAACACGTGTTCGCAGCGTTGAGCAATGCAGTGCTGAAATGTGCGTGCTCACGAATCCTCTCATTAAAACACGAGTTGTAGACATTATGAACGATTCATTATGCATATAT